CACGCCTGGGCATGCGCGGGGCACGCCTGGGCGCGCGCGTTGGGTTCCTTTTTTTTCGAAAATTTTCTGGGCAACTTGGGGCTGTTCTTGGGCATCTTCAAAGCCTCATTTTTATTCAAAATCAAAACCATAATTCTACCCAAACCCTAGATTTACAATAATTCTAATCCCGAATAAAATTACAAATAATTTTATTTGAACGAATTTAATGCGATCCATGTAACCATATAATTAACGACCAAATCTATCATCCATACATTAATCATCATGAATCAAATATAAACATCCATAAATGCAAGTGCCTACACATCACATACATACATAATTAATTTTTTATTATCAAATAATCAGAGCATAAATTAATATTGTCTATAGACCGCTCTGATACTAATTGTTGGTAGCCGAATCGAATTCGGATGCGGAAGCGTGGTGGTGCGGAGGGAGAGGCGGATCGTGTATAACAAAAATTTTCATAAAATTTTTGAGATACTCTATAGATTATATTAATTTATGCACGAATAAATTAATCTCATTAATTTATTTATTAAGAACTCAATCAGAAAAAATACCTGGAAGCCGACTCGGATGATAACTTGAGTTCTTTGACCACGAACAGTCCTTGCTCCAATCTTTGTGTTTAGAAAACCAATGTCTTCCACGTCAATTCTTAGAATCTACGAAGACGTGTGTGTGGACACACATGAGACAAAACGGGTTACAATAAACACTCGAATTTCCACAAACACCATCGCATGCACGATGTGGAATTTTTGGAGAAAAAAAATTTTTCCTTCCTCTCTACAAAGAGAATTTCGGCCAGCCTATCAAAATAGGGCAGAAAAATTGTTTTTAAAATTATCTTCACAATTTTCTATCATTCTCATATTTATAGAGTAGAAGTCAAACTTCTAGAACGAATCCAATCTCTATCTCTAAGATAAAGCTTGTTAATTATCTCATATTTGAATTTGGAACAAAATCTCCTCTTATCCTTATCCATTGTGGCTGGCCACCTTAAGAGGATTCTCATCCCTGTGTGGCCCCAATATCAGATAGGGAAGGAATGAAAAATCATCATTTATCATGTAGTCCAATTTTGACTCAAATTCTAATTCTAATTTAAGTCAAATTTAAATTAATTTGAATTCTAAATTGAACAACTTATCAAATAAGTTTAAATGGATAAATCTAGATGTGTTCAAATTCAAATTTAAATTTAAATAATCACATTATTTAAATAATAATTAATTCTTAATTAATTATTTTTCGAGTTTTAATTTTAGAATTACGTAATTCTAAAATTCCCATTTTGCCCTCTGTGTCTGGCAGAATTACTAGGACGACGCGGGGACTAATGGACCTATAATCCCGAGCTCCAATAAAA